CCCTGCCCGTTGGGGCTAGCCGGGGGGTTAAGGCCAGCCAGCCCTGGGGCTGGGGCAGGGCCTGTGGAGGCTTCGGGGCCAGCTTTGCCTGCCCTGACCCTGCCTAGCAGGGGACTGTCTCTGTCACCCATCCCAACCAGGTGGCAGAGGCATCACTGCAGCTTCTCATCCCCCAGAGAATATGAGCATGACGCTGTGAGGAAGAGGTTCACACGGGCCAGGGATGACTCAGACCAGGACGAAGGCTACGAGTGGGGCCCAGCTACAGATGTGTAGCAGCACTGCTGGCTCCTGTCCCACTGGGCAGCTGGTCCCCTTGAGCCAGCCCTGCTGCAGCCCGAGGCCATCAGGTCCATGTGACAGTCCAGGTAGTGCCATGCAGCACCCCACAGCCAGGCTGGGCTGGGCCTAATCCTGCTGTACCTATCACCACTCAAGAAGCAGCACCAAGTGCCTCCTCCTCTCTTTTGGCCATGGTCCCTGCTGCTGGAATAAAGGGATATTTTGATCAGGACGGGCTGTTTCCATGCATGCTGGGTGGCAGCACGCAGGGGAAACCCATGCAGCAGCGTGGCCTTGCTGGATGTGGCCAGACACCCTGCCTGCCCTGACGCAGCAGTGTGAGAACCAGGCTTGGGTTGTGCCAATGTCTGGCACCACAGCAGACTCAGGGTGTTTGTCCCAGAGCTGAGCCTCCTCTGCTGCAGCCCAGCCAGGGCTCCTGAAGTGCAGCTTCTCATGTTCCTCAAAATGTTTATTTTTTTACATCAACCGAGCACACGGGCAAAGTCAGGTCAGCGCTGCCTGGGCCATGGGGACCCAGAGACCCACTCATAAAAAGACAACATCACCAGGGGGTGATCCTTGTGGCCCATAACCCCAAGCTCCCCGGGATGTGGGACTGGGCAGTGCCGTGTTCCCTTTTGCTGTGCTGAGGGACAGCCCCGAGGGCTGCGACCCAGGGCCCCGGCAGGCTGGGGCCAGGCTGTGCGTGCAGAGCAGTTAAAGGCAGCACGAGGGAAAAACAGAGGTAGTTTCCCAGCTCGGTGCATCCCCGACAGGCCCCTGGCAAAGCCAGGGAGGGAGAGCAGGTATCAAGGGTGCTGCTGCCCTTAAGGCTGAGTCTGGGATCTGCCGGCTCTCCCTCAGTGGTGCCAGTGTGCACACACTGGTGTGCAGGGTCAGCGCTCCTCTGGGGCCGTGCTCAGGTGAGCGCCAGAGCTGTGCTTCCAGCACCATCCCCACACGGGGAAAGGCACCATTGGTGAGTGTAAAAGCACCTGTGGTGACTAAATGGGGTGACCTTTCATGCAAGGTCCTCTCTCCTCCTGCCACCACCAGGCCAAAGTAAGGGACCCTATGAGGCAACAGGACAGGCACTGTCAGGCAGGGAGGGGTGAATGGAGGGGGAGGAGGTGCCCAAACCATGGCACCATAGGCTTGGACACTGTTCAAGCTGGGTATCAGACCTCCAGAGTCTCCCACTGTGTCCTGAGTAAAACCAAAGAGGTGCAGGATTAGGCCCTGCTGGGGACCAAAGGGTTCTGATGAGGGCGCTGGGGCAGGAGGCAGAGCCTGTCCTGCTCTCGTGGCCCTGGGCTCACTCCTGCCTGGCCCCAGGCACGTGCAGCAACAGCCAGGCATGGCCAGCGGCTCAGAGGAAGATGGGCTGCTCCTGCCCAGTCAGTAAGCGGTACGTGGAGGCCGGCATGGTCTTGATGTGGACCTAGGCAGAGACACGCAGATCAGCTGGGAGACACCAAACCCCGGGTTGGAAGGTGCTGGTGCCAAACTCTGAGCCCAGCCTGCTCTGCATGCAGCCGCAGCTGTCCTGTGGCATGGGGGCCCTGGCGTCACCCAGCCCAGCCCCGGCTCACCTCGCTGACTGCCTGTGTGAGAATCTGGATGATCTTCTCGTGGGGTGTTGCCACCACACTCTGCCCGTTGATCTCGATGATGCGGTGCCCCACGCGGATGCCACCTCTCTCTGCGATGCCCCCACGCATCAAACTGCAGATCTGGGGAGCAGAGAGCACTGGTAAGATCAGCGCTGTGCCCACAGCCCAGGGCTATGTACAACCGGCCCTCCAAGCCCTCTCATCCGTGCAGGCTCCTGGCAAGAGGGAGACTTGGGTGCTGTCTCCACCAGTCCATGGGCATGCAGTGAGGGCAGGGATGTCCCTTTGCATTCC